CGACCTATACGCGCGCGTTTTGAATGCAGTCCGTAGCGACGGGCTTCTGATTGTTTTGATTGGCGTGCGTTCGCGTTGCTTGCGACTGGGCCGCAATCTGGCTGGCTGGCATTGGTTCTGAACCGATGATTCTGGCGGTCAGTGGGCCTCCGTGATATCCGATCGCGCTTGCGCGTGCGTAGCCCTGCGAGCCGCGCGCGGCACTTGCCTCGCTCGAGACGAACATCTTCGCCGTGGGATTCAAAAGGCTTGGCCCAATATCGTTCGGCGCCCCCAGGGGCCCGGATGCCGGGGCGGTGTTTTCAGTTTGCATTCTTCCGCCCAGGCCTGTGTGCTCGATCATAAGTTGAATGTCCGAGACCTGCGGAAGTGGATTTCCCCGTCGCGCTGGCAGTTCGACATTCGCCGAGGCGCGGGGGGCGACCAGGGCGCGGCCGCCTCCGAGCTCGCGACCTGCGCCGCCCAGACGCGCTGGGCATGCCCTTGGATCTATTTGCGGGGGAGGGGCGGGGCTGGGGAGTTGACGCGCGCCGGCGTATTGCGCGCGTCGCGGGGTGGGGGGGAATAGCCCGGCATTTTGGCGCTGCCGCCTGCTCCGTTGTCCGTTGATGTATGTGGCGCGGCGCCTGCAGGTTTCGAGCTGGCATGGCTGGCAGTGCTGGTTGCTGGCGTTGAGGCGCCGCCCCCAGGGGGGGGTGCCTTTCGCGCCGCCTGGGGTTGCCCCGCCCTCGTCCCCCTCGGATCGGAATCGTGCGAGATGAGGGGCTCGCGACGCCTCCTTCCCGGGGCCAGGGCCGAGGGGCGATCTTGCCCCGTCGAGCGGCCCCGGGGATTCGGGCGGCAGGAGCGCGCGTGCGGCGATTTGAACGCCCGCCCGATCAACGGCCAGATCCACGGCGCAGGCGGCTTCACCTCGGGGCTATGTGCGCTTCGAAGGGGCGAGGATTGTAGGCGCAGATGGCTCGGGTGGGAAACGGTTTGTCGACCCTCGGCCCCGACGCGTGGGATGGTGAGTGGTTCTGTGGGACAGGGCCGCTGGGCCGCCGGTCAGCTTTTCGGGGCCGCGCCTAGGGCGCGAACCATCAATCGAGGGGGACTTACCGCCGCCGTTCATGCCGCCCGCCGGGGTGGCTCCATCGCAGTTGCGACCGGCAGCGATTATTTGGTGAGGGGCGCGGGCCGCGGTGACTCTTGGAACGGTGAGATGAACGCGGGCCTCTTGCAGGTCTTCTTGGTCGTGTACTGCGCCGGGGGCCACCGCGTTGCCTCTGAGAAAACCGAGGCGCGCGCGACCCTCGCCGACGTCAGATCAGGCGCAGTACGGCCCGATTTCTACATTGCCAACGCCGCTGCGGACGCAACGGCGCAGGGGGCAGCCGAATATTTCGTTTTCGCCGTCGACAAAGTACAATGCGTGCGTGGGCAGGGCGACGAGGTGAACTTCATTCGGGATGGGCTGGCACGCATCCTGGACCTCACTTGGAAGTGTTGCCCCAACCTCCACTTTCAGAAAGTCCCCAAGAGTGCTGGGGCTCGGAGTGCTGGGACTCGGAGGCCCCGCGAGGCCGAAATGAACGCCCATGCTGAAATTATTTAACGTAGTGACACTGGCTGTAGTAGGTGCGCACAATATTCTATCAAGTCTAAGCCTAACTGGGTAGCAGAAGTTTACATGCCCGAGCAACAACGATTTTGGACGCGCGCCCCTCCCACCACCAGAAAATATGTATTACTCGGGGTGGTGGTCTCTTGTGCTAAGTGCGGCGGTTGGGCCTTCTCAGAGGCGGGGGAGACGCTGCAAGGGCAGTGTCAGAGCCCAATCAGCACAGGGATCCAAACACCCTCCATACTTTTGCAGGATCCGAAGCCCAAGAGACTCCTCGAATGGCCTGCAGGTCGGCTTGCCTACTTAGGAGAGCAGTCTGCCGCCCGGTGTGGCCAGCCGTTAGATCGCATCATATTGCTTACTTTTTCGGATAGGACCTGTGCGCGCGGGGATCATTCTGCAACTGCTTGTAACTGGTCGCTGGAATGCAAGGGTGATGCGGGGAGGGCTATGTAAAGGTGAGGGTCTCGCGAAGGAGATGGGAAGGAACACGGGCGCAGTTTGGGAGGAACAGTCAATAATAGGAGCATGCGCAGATGGATTTGCGGATGGAGGAGGTAGAGCAGGAGGATGATGAGGGCGGCGACGACGACGACCACGAATACATGGAGGACGACGGCGGTGACGACGAAGACTTCGACGACGACCACGACGGGTTGAACACTGACATTGGCCGCCCACTTTTATCGAACGTGGTCGCTGTGATGCAAAAACAGCCAGGTGCGATGATCGTGAACAGATTCTGGGAGGCATGGTGGGGGTAGAAGTCCACGCAACGAGGTTTCCAAAACGGCCCCAGAGGGCCGGGGAACATCCAAAATCAAGCCAAGGGGGGTCCCAAAAGGTTTCAGAAACATTTTGAAAAAATGCCCAATTTCGTCCCACACACGGTTGGTTGAGGGGCAAAAGGCCTGACAGCATTCGTTTCGAACCGGTAGAAGGGTCTCCAGGGGGGCCGGGTGGTGTCCAAGACGTTTCAAAAGGGCTCCAAAAGGGCGGCCAGACGATCCAAGGTAGCCCCCAGATGCCGTGAGGACGGCCCAAAAGGCTTCCAAAACATCTCAAGGTGGCCACATAACCCTCAACAATGTCACCAGAGGTTCCGAGACGTATCCCAGAGGCGGAGATATAAACCACAGGCGGCCCATATTGTCAACATGCCTGGGGTTCTCGATACAACGTGATTGGAAGCGGCTTCAGCATGCTTCGAAGCGGCCCACGAGGGCTCCCAGAACGGGCCAAAGCAGCCCAATGGAGCCCCAAGATGCTGATGCTTCCAAAACGGCACACTGGGGCCGCCGGAGAGGTTCCAGACGGTGTTCCGACACGCGTGGAAGTCTCCCGTGCGAAAATGCGTGTAATTTGCAATCGAACTGACGGGCAGCGGACGTCCAGCACGCAGCCAGGGCCCTCAGGCTGGCGGAATAAGCAAACCGCGGGAATGCCCCAGAAGGGGTTTTATGTTTTTCTCTGTTTTCGAGGAAGCATTGCAGACGATAGTCACTTAGGGCACAATATGGAGCAACAAATGCTGGACACGGACACTCCCCAAGGTGTGCATCTCAGTTGTTGGCACTCCCGTCTGTCGTCGCTCGACGGTTCATCAGGATGCCCTCTACCATGCTGCGTTATCTCCCTCCCTCTTCCCCTCCCCCCTTTGTCCCATCCGTCCTCCCTCCGTTCCATCCTTCCCTTCTACCCTTCCTGCTTCCTGACCTTTTTCCCGATACGGGAAAACAGTGACGCCGGAGATTCGCTACAAACGCGGAACAGAAGTAGTAACAGCAGTACACCCAGTAGAAATAAGCATGCGGCGCTTCTGTATGGGCAGGGCGAGGAGTACATGTATGTCAAATCGTACTGGTAACTACATGTTAGCCGGCGTGGGCTACCAGCCGTGTTTTTGTTGCAATGCACGCGGTGCAATCTAGGTGGTGCAATCAACGTGGTGCAATTTTTGGTGGTGCAGTCGTTGCGCAACCCATGTGGTGCAATCTATGTGGCGCAACAACGATGCAACACAATGCAACGCACTACAGAGCAATGCCGCGGCAATGCGAAACAAAGTAAACCAGTGCAGACCAATGCGAAGCAAATCAATGCAACGCAATGCAAAACGGTGCGAAGCGATGCAAAACACAGCAATGCAAAGCAGTGCAAAGCAGTGCAAAGCAGTGCAAAGCAGCGTAAAACAGGGCAAACCAGCACATAGCAGTGCAAACCATTGCAAAGCAATGTGAATCAGCGCGGCGACGGGCGGCGACGAGCCGGCCAGACCGCCACTGGCGCCCAGCGGCGACGGCGGCAACGGGCGGCGGCGACGAGCCAGCCAGACCGCCACCGGGGCCCAGTTACCTTAGAAGATAGGCGAGAACCCCTGAGTTCAAACACTGTTTGGGGAATGAGTGCAGACACGGTCAGTGCTGATAGAGTTGATCTATTGGAATGCGCGCGGTACAGCCGTGCACGCGAGCAAAGTCAGGTCAGGAAGTGCCACGCGAAAAAGACGTTCCCGCGTGAGGAACAGCGCAGGCCACATAGTTTTGAATGTTACCCCCATCCCCCGACCGCCGTGGAACACCGCGGACCTGGACCCCCACCTCCAGGGTGCCCTCCGAGGGCCCGAGGAAGAGAAGGAGGAGGAGGAGGAGGAGGAGGAGGAGGAGGAGGAGGAGGAGCAGCAGCAGCAGGAAAATAAGCGGGAGGAGGCAGAGGAGGAGAGGAGAGCTCAGGAGGTTCGGTCGTGTTCGGTCTGGTTCGGCCTCAGATCGACGCTGGTTCGGTTCGGATTCAAACTATAGATGATTCGGTTCAGCTTGGTTCGGATTCAAAATTTGGCCACTTCACGTCAGTTCGGTTCGGTCTGGTTGGTTTCGGCTAGCTCGGGTTGATTCCAGAGCCATCTTGAAGACCAGCTTCGGCAGAAATGTGCGCGAGGACGGACCTGTAATTTAATCATACATGTAGATTGCCCATCAATTTTGCCTCCCAGGGCCTTGCTGAACTCCACCTATGGTGTCTTTAGGGGCGTTCCTGGAGCCTCGTGGGCCCCGTAAAGGAAACTCTGAAGCCTCTTGGGAGGTCTTTAGGCTGGACATGGCCTGTCGCGTTCTTGGGCCGTCCTGGGGCCCACACGAGTGCCAGTGAGCCAAACGTGGGTTGTGGCGATTTCTGACACAGGTATTCGGTCATGGGGCGGCCCCCCCCTCTAAGTAGAGACCTCATCACACAGCCACCATGGTGCCAGGTGGCCTTGCGTTACAAGATGGAATGGCTGTACTGCCTGAGGCCGTAGATCCATCCCAACTTGCCGTCGGACGCACTCTTACAACACAGGAGATGGGCTGCAGCGACAGGAGGAGGCGGAGGCGCGGGAAGAGGGCGGGCCGTGATCAGCCGTTTTGGCTCGAGAGGGCGCGCGCGGCACCCGCGGGCTGGCCAGCCCGACGCGGCCCCGTCGCGGCAAGGGGGCCCATGAGGGGTGCCGCCCTCGGCGGCGCGGAGGACGAGGACGAGGACCTGGAGGGGGAGGCGGGCTCCGCGGCCCCTCCGCCTCTCCTGGGTGGCGACGAGTCCTACCAGGGCCCGCCCGCCGCCGGCTTCGACGACTCGCGGGGCTCGGGCGTGGTGGGCTTCCAAGCGGGGGCGAGCCTGCAGCCCGGCCTGCCCCTGGACTTCGGCTTCCTGCTGCAGGCCGGGGCGGCGACCGCTCCGCCGGGGCGCGCGCGCGCGGGGTCGGCGGGCAGCGACGAGGGCCTCGCGTGGGGTGGCCTGCCCGCCTCGGGCCGGGCGGAAGGGGGGGGGGGGCGGACGGGGGGGGGGGGAGTCTCGAGATCTGCTGCGCATGCGGCTGCTTCCGGCCCCGCCGCCAGGCGCTTCCCCCGATGCACTGGCGGCCCCCCCCTGCGGGGAAAGCTGCTGCGTGGGCTGGCTCGCCCCCCCCCCTCTCGCCGAGCGCGCTCCACTACTCGCAGAGCGCCTACTCGCAAACGTCCGAAATATACAGGCCTTCCTCCATGTAGCACATCGGATCCAGGCAGTTTGCGAGCAGTTGATTTGCGAGCAGTGGAACGCGCCTGTCCACCCACCCTTTGTCAGGCGATCGCAAGCATTGATTCAGGGGGCGTGGATTAGCGACGGGTCCCGTCTCCATTGGAAATCGCGGATTTCCGCCGCCGAACGAGGCGGCACCGGCCGCACTTTGGGGAGGTCACCTTCCCCGACCCATGGATTTGGCGACCGCGCCCCAAATCTCGCATGCGATGCTTCTATCCCAACCCCCGACTTTTCGAGGAAAAATTGACCGGCTCAGAAAGGAGGGAAACCCTGGGATACACCCCCAGGGGGCTATTCGGACGCACCCCTATCGAGCATGCACGCTTCTTTCGTATATCCCAGGGTTGGGCCCTATTTTTTTTGGTTCATTCGAAAACCCCACGACGCCTGGGATGGGGGTCGACATATCCCTTGTTAAAATCCTCGGATCGCTGACCCATGTTTGCGCGCCCCCGACTCTGGCCGCGCCCCCCTTTCGCCCAGCCCGGCTGCCGCTGCCACGACGGGCAGGCACGAGGCCTGCAGGCAGGGGCGGGCCGCGGACCGCAAGCGGAGCCGCAACGACTCCATGGACGTCTCGGACGATCTGGCCCCGTGGGCGGCTCTGGAGCTCGGTGTCTCCTCCTCCTCCTCCTCCTCCTCCTCCTCCTCCTCCTCCTCCTCCTCCCGTGCAACCGCTGCCCATCCTCCGAGGCGGGAAGTTCTAGATGACCACCGCCGGGAGGGCCAGCTTTCGGTGCCTCGGCAGGCGGTGGATGTGGACATCTTCGGGCCCCCGAGGGCCGAACTACACATCCATATCCGCCGCCCGCTTGGGCACCAGGACGTCGGTTCCCAGGCGGTGGACATGGAGAAATCCCCGCCTCGCACCATGCCCATCCCCATCCCCTTCGAGACCCCCACCAGATTACCACCCCAGTTGGGGACACACCCCTCGAAGCCCGAAGGGGACGGCCTGTATCCCCAGCTAAGGGGGGTAAATCGGCCAGTGGGGCCCAGGCCACGCCGCTGGGAGTGGGGATCGGTTGAACGATACTCAGGAGCCACCGCGCCCGCCGATGCGGACACGGCAGGTGCCCTTCGGCGTGGTGGCCGGGCAGGACCGCGGGCCTCGCGCGATGGATCCGCCGATCTTTCGTGCGGATCCCTTCCACTGGATGCGGGACTCGACGCACGAAGATCAGGAGGTCCAGGCGCTGCTGCGCGAAGAGGACGCCTACTGCAACTGGTGCCTGTCTCACCTTCAAGAGCTGCGAGAGCGCCTCTATGCCGAGATGATCGGGCACACCGACGAGGACGATGTGGACGTTCCCGTCCTGCGCCCGGACGGGTACGCCTACTATTCCCGCTCTTTCAGCGGCAAGCCGTACAAGGCCCACCACCGTGCGAAAGTCGCGGCGACCACTGACCCCACACTCTTGTCTGGTGGAAGGCCAGTGGTTGGGACCGTCGCGGTCCACGCGGCCGTGGCGGGGCTGGCTCTGGTGGACGAGGAGCTGATATTGGATGAGAACGAGCTCCGATTCGATGCTGCGGGGAACGTCCACCCCTACTGCTCCATCCACGGCCCCGAGCTGAGCGAAGACGGCGAGCTCCTGGCCTACGGTGCCGACTTCAAGGGCGACGACTGCTGCGCGATCCGGTTCCGTCGCTTCCGCGCGGGCGCGGCAGGCGACCAGCCGCCCGGGGAGGAGCTGCAGACCACGGACGGCTCCATCGTGTGGGACGCGTCTGGGCATGCCGGGATCTACTACGTGGGGCTCGACGCGGAGCTGCGCTGCGGCACGGTCCGCCGGCACCTGCTGGGCACCCCGCAGGGCCGCGACGCCGTGCTGCTCGACGAGGAGGACCGGAGCTTCTCCGTCTCCATCGGCAAGACCTCCGACTCCCGCCTGCTGGTCGTCTCCTCGTGCTCTAGCCAGACCGCGGAGCGCTACTTGCTGGACCTGCACAGCTCGGAGGAGGGCGAGTCCAGACAGTGGCGGCCCTCCCTCGCGTTTTCGTCCTGATTGGGCCTCCGGGAGGCTTCTCGTCGCCACAGCTGGGTCGGCGTCGCGAGACGGGTCCGGATGGGGCCCAGGAGGGGTCCAAGGGGCGATTTCTGCGGCTGTGGGCCAGGCGGGAGAGCGGCCGGTGTCTCAGCTGGCCTTCCTCCGAAAAGCCCGTCTGAGGGTTTGCGGTGCGTCTGCAAGCGTTCTGCGGGGCACATGTACCAGGTGGACCACTGCAACGGTGTCCTCTACCTGCTCACGAACAAGGACGGTGCGAAGAATTCGAAGCTGTGCTGCATGCCCGTTGTGTCGCTTCCCGTGGGCGGGGCGTCGGAAATGAAGGACGTGTGGACTCCTGGCCAGCACGTCAAGCTGGACTCGCTGCGCTGCTTCGAGAACTTTCTTGCCATAGAGGGAAGGGAGGCTGGCGTCTCCAGGATATTCATCGTCCGCTACTCGGGCATCGTGGATGGCGGCGCTGCGCCTGTCGCGGAGGCCGTCGTCTTCCCCGATGGGCAGCTGCACGACGGAACCCTGCTCACGCCGCGACGCCGTATGGCCGCCGCGTCGCTGTACTCCACGGGCCTCCATTGTAATGGCCTGTTCAGTACCGACACCATCAGGGTCTACAGGGCCGACTATTGCTGCCCTTCGCGGGTCTTCTCGTACAACTCGACCACCCAGGCGTTCAAGCTGCTCAAGGAGGAGCCCGCGCCCAATTTCGACCGCAGCCTCTACAGGGCCGAGAGGATCACATCCCACCGGCGGGGCGTGCCCATCTCGCTGGTGTACCGCACCGATTGCCATCCGAAGGGCCTCGCGGGGGGCCCTCACCCGACGCTGCTCACAGGCTACGGCTGCTACGGCGCCTGCAACGACCCCGACTTCGACTTCACCCTGCTGAGCCTCCTGGACCGCGGGGTCGTCTACGCGGTGGGACACGTCCGCGGGGGCGGGGAGCTCGGCGAGGAGTGGTGGGAGGCCGGTCGGCAGTTCAACGTGAAGAACCGCTTCCTCGACTTCGAGGCGGTGGCCGAGACGCTGCTTGAGGAGGGCATATCCGAGGCGAGCCGCCTGGTCGCCTGGGGCGAGAGCAGCGGAGGATGCCTGGTGTCGGCCACGGCCAACATGCGGCCAGACCTCTTCAAGGCGCTGCTCCTCGAGGTGCCCTTCTGCGATGCCCTGACGACGATGTCGGATCCGACGATACCCCTGACGTGTGGGGACTGGGGGGAGTACAACAACACGAACGAGCGGGAGGCGTTCCACTACGCCCTGGAGTACAGCCCCTACGACAACATCCGGATGCAGAGCTACCCGGCGGTACTCTGCACCGGCGCTCTGAACGACGCCATGGTCGGTTTCTGGGAGCCGCTAAAGTACATCACCAAGCTGCGCCGCATGAAGCTCGATGACAATCTCGCCATGATGAAAGTGAACTTCCACGCAGGTCATGGTCACAGCTCTGACCGCTACGAGGATCTCCGGGAGAAGGCGTTTCTGTTTGCTTTCGTATTGAACCAGTTGGGCATAGATCGATGACGGCGGTGCTCATAAGGCTGAGCTGCTTTTATCTTCCATCTGCCTCTCAGGGATCATCGATTGTGCGGTCACAGCAAGTGTATGGCTGCCGTCCCCGAAAGGAGAGGGGATAAGGAGTTGCAGGGAGAGGAGAGGGAGAGAGCAGGCGCGTTGCCAAATAATCTCCACATGCCTGAAACATGTTTACAATCTGTGGTATCACATGTCACAATATGGTTCAAACACGTTGAAAACAGTTTAAGACATTTGGGCTCAAACACATGTTTATTCCATGATCGGATTGCTTAGCGTGTCCACTGTCATGGCATCCACAAGGATAGGGAGGAGGAGGAAGAGTAGGAGGAGGAGGAGGAGGAGGAGGAGGAGGAGGAGGAGGAGGAGGAGGAGGAGGGATCCAGACCTTCGACGCCGTGTTTTCTCAACATGCGGGCCCCAGGACCTCTCTCGACCCCCTCTCGGAGACCTGCTGTTCATCCCAGGCTTGCTTGGCACGGACCTAAAGCCCGATACGGGCTTGAGGCGGAAACTGAGGAACAACGCCGGCGTTGAACATGTCACGACGTCGGAGGTCTTGGGAGGCATGGGACTCCGATATCTCACTGGTGGTTTGGGGCGCCTCCAGGGCCGACTCGGGGCTACAGCCTGGGTCCGCGCCGCTGCCCACGAGCCGACACTGGCCGAAGGGGGAGACAATATGACAAATGCTCGCAGCTTCCTCCTCTTCCTCCGCCACCTCCGCCTCCTCCTCCCCTCCCCCCTTCCAACTCTTTCTCCTCCGCCTTTCCACTCTCGACAGATCTCCTCGCAGCCTCCTCCGCCTCCTCCCCCTCTCCCCCGTCTCCCTTTACCCGCTGCTCCCGCTAGGGCCCTCTCGCCCGAATGGGCGCGGCCCTACCCGCAGTAGGGCCGGATGGGCGCTCGTCCTCCAGTGGCCACGGGGCCGTTGCACCATCTCAGTGATGGAGCGTCACGCATGCGAGATGTAGCACCAGCATTCTTACACAGCTAGCAGGGAGGCCTAGTGTACAAGAGTACCTCGTAGGCGAACGGCCCCTTGCGCAGCGCGTGTAGTCCGCCTTCTCCTCCCTCCCTCCACAGCTACACATTCTGAATACTACTCTCCTGTATCCCCTGACTCCGTGCAGGAGATATTCGGCTCTCTCCGCGTGTTGTTTGTAACGCCAGATTTCAAATACTGCTTTCTGGTACGTTCCCCAAACATTGTTGCACTTAGGGTTTCTTACTTCTGTTCAAAGGAGCTGGGCTGGTGTGGAGGTTTGGCGGCTATGTTGACGCCGTCGCCGCCCCGTCCCCGCCTCGTCGCCGCCCGTCGTCTGGGCCGGTGTGGCGGTCTGGCGGCTATGTTGTCGCCGTCGCCGCCCCGTCCCCGCCTCGTCGCCGCCCGTCGTCTGCGCTGGTGTGGCGGTCTGGCGGCTATGCTGTCGCCGTCGCCGCCCCGTCGACGCCTCGTCCCGTCCTAGGTTCTCGTTTTTTAAAAGAGTATTAGGATCTACCCCCCCGGGGTTAACGGTGCACCATTCCGTATTGCAATTTTCACATGATTCTGCTCCATCGTCCATTCTCAAATCCCAGGCAGGCCTGTATCGTCCCCCCTTCATCCTCTGCAACAGATGCTCTGCGCGCACATTCGCTTATCATGAACCATCAGTGTTCAAACATCCCTTGCAACGTATTGGACGAAGTGTACACGCGGGCGTCGTCGCGCGCGCATGCTGGAGTCCCTGAACAACCTGAAATTTCTCAAGGATTGCAAAATCGAGAGTCACGAAACATATAACAACACATGGTTTCGCAACAAGGGTTTTCAAACAAAGCCTGCGCCCGCGCTATTACAATTTCGCAAATCATAGGATTCTACCAAACGGGCCTTTCGCGCGCGCAGATCGAAATCGCTCAAACGCCCTTGGGCGCGTGTTGTCGCAAGAATACCTGGCAAAAACGTGACGACGTGCACGCCGAAATCTCTCAAAAACCAAACGTTTCGTATGAATTTCGAAGACGAGTAGTCTTGCAACATCCGTTTTTAAAAACCTGCCCTCGCGGGTTTTGTGGGCACTTGGGAAACCATGGTTTTTCCATCACATTCTGCCAAACGGGCCTCTCGCGTCGCATGTCGAACTCATTCGAACGCCCTTGCGCGCGTGCTGGGGGGGGGCACGATCCGTGTCAGAATCATTCCACGCGGGCCACTCGCGCGCGTCGGCCGCGCGCGGATGTCGAACTCTGTCAAAAATCTTCATCGCTGACGCGAGGACATCGTCGTCGTTATCGGCGGGCGTGATTGATCAACATCGGCGCCGTCATTGGCTTTGCCGCCGTCATCGCCACCATTCTCACCATCATCGCTACTCTCATAATCGTGTCTACCTATGTCGGAATCGCCATTATACCGCGCCTGCCCAAGTCACCGACTCGCACTGAAGTGCCCGCTGGGAAGTGCCCAGCGGTCAGCTCCACTTCGGCCGCGTCGGTCGCGCCAAACTAGCTGGCCGCTGTGCGCGCGAGCATGCGCGGGCTAGCGCGGCCACAGAGATGCACCAGCCAACGCCAACCACTCGTCGCAATCGCCGCCGCATGGGTTTTGCAAACCAAGTTGCGAGTGGGTGGGTGTGATGATTGCAAGAGCATGGAATGTGTCAACTCGTTTGTAAGACCGGTTGTACAACATAGATTGCGCGACGCAAGCGGCACATCATTTATTGCACCAAATACATGTCCCACATAGCTTGCACAACAACGATTGCACCGCATAGGTTGCACAACGTGGACTGTACAAGACACATTGCACCACGTCTATTGCACAGCCTATATTGCATCACGTAGATTGCACCACCTACTGAAATATACATACGTATTGATAATTTAAATGTGTATGTGTATGTTTATTTGTTTGTTTGCATGCATGCATGTATGCATGTATGTATTCATGTATGCGTGCAATATATATATAAAAAATGTTATATATATGTATACGTAGATGTATATGAATATGTGTATTTATATGTATATGTATAGGTATATGTATATGTATAAGTATATGTACATGTTTATGTTTATGTTTATGTGCATGTAGATGTATCTGTATATGTATAGGTAGATGCAACTGGATATGTATATGTATATGTATATGCGTATACATATATGTGTATCTGTATATGTACATATATGTATATGTATATGTATGTGTATATGTATATGTATACGTATATGTATATGTATATGTATATGTATAGGTATATGTATATGTATACGGGGGTGGAGGGAGGGACGGAGTGATGGAGGGAGGGCGGGATGCAGGGAGGGAGGGAGGGAGGAGGGAGGGATGGAGGGAGGGAGGGATTGGGATTGAGGGAGGAGGAGTAGGAGGAGAGGAGGAGGAGGAGGAGGAGGAGGAGGAGGGAGAGGAGGCGGAGGAGGAGGAGGAGGAGGAGGAGGAGGAGGAGGAGGAAGACGAACAATATCGACGAGGAGGAGGAGGAAAAGGTGGAGAAGGACGAGGAGGAGGAGAAATAAGAGAGCGATGAAGGAGGAGTGACGAGTGACCCCTTCAGGTCTCCCGGCCCACGCCGAGGGAAGCGCTGGACCTCCTGTTCCAGCTGGAGAAGGACACGCGGGGGGCGCGGGCCGCGCGCACGCCACTGCCCCTATGACAGGCCACTCCTGGGCTGGACCTCGAGGGCCATGGAGGGAGGAGCAGTAGGGCGGGGCTGGAGCAGGAGGGAGGCGGAGGAGAGGCTGGAGCCACCGCGACCACTACGACCGCCACCGCGGCCACCACGACCCCCTCCGCCCCCCGCGCCCCGCTTCTTCTCCCTCCCCTTTCTCGGTTGGGTCGCTGATCTTGCGCTCTTCGGATGGGCCCCTCGCCCAAGGCGGGGGTCTCGTCACTGGTCGGCTGTGGTGTGCAATGTCGCAGGCCCAGAGGTTGACACCAGCACCAACATCGGCGGTGTGCCTCCACTGAGGGAAGAAGATCCCGATCTCGGTGATGGTGGTAATATCCAGACTTCCAAGGTGACCGAACTATTACCGCCAACACCGAAATCTAGGAACATCTTATCCCTGTGGAGGCATACCCCATATGTTGGTGTTGGTGCCCATTTCCAGGCCCTCAACAATGTCCTGCCCCTTGCCGCCGTCGCGCGTGTCTCGTTTCACCAGTGGTGGTTTCGCACAGGGGCCCCGCTGCGAGCCGTCCCCGCCAGGGCCTCGTTGGGTCCCTGGTGCGGGTGGATCTTCCAGCCCTCTCCTGCAGGGAGGAGGAGGAAGAGGAGGAGGAGGAGGAGGAGGAGAAGGAGGTGGAGGAGGAGGAGGAGGAGGAGGAGGAGGAGGTCGCTCTTGGGCGCCTCCCTTCTGCGCCTGCGCCTCTATGGACGCTTCGGCGCGCTCGAAGGTGGTCGTCACGCCCTCCGCCTTCTCCGAGCTGCAGCTCAGCGACTTTGTGACCACCCTCTGGGCCTTCGGCGCGCGTTAGCTGCCCGCGACGGGGGTCGATGCGGGGCTGTTGGCGGGGGTGACGCCCCCCCCCCCCGACGGTTATTAAGAATCTCGGAGTATGCTCGGCGCTCGCGGTCTCCCCCAGTCATTGGAGGAGGCCGAGATTCCCCCGTTCGGAACTTTTTCGGCCATCTTTGCCGCACTCGTTTCTGATTGCGCGGATTCGCTCCGAGCAGGCATTGCATCTGCTGAGTCTTGGTCTCTGGGGCCGACGCAGAGAGCCCCCAAGACGGCCGAATGCGTCCGAGGACGGCCGCGTGACGGCCGCGTGACAGGCGAGATTTGCGCGCCGAGGGTCGGCCGTGGAGACGTGCCCAGCCAGGTGCATGAGGACTGCCCAGGCTGAGTTGTACACCCAGTTTGTGGGATCCAGGTCAAGCTGGTCGTGCAGGACGCCTTCTTGGCTGAGCAGCTCGCGACAGTGCCGGGCCGGGTCGACGGGCGCGTCGCCAGGCCCATGTTGGCGCGGGTGGAGGCTCGCGACGTAGTAGAAGACCAGGCCCAGGGCAGGGCCCATGAGCGGTCGCGTGCCCGCTGTTTGGAGGTCGGCGGTCAGGTCCTCCCAGCAGCGGTGTTTTGGGAGGGCCTGCTCTGTCAGGGTGGCGCAGCCCATGGCCGGGGCGCGCTCGCTCGAACTTTCGTCGATTGGGCCGCTTCATCCAGGATTCCGGGGAGGCCTCTCGGGCAGTTGGGGAGGAGGAGGACGAGGAGGAGGAGGAGGAGGTGGAGGAGGAGGAGGAAGAGGAGGAGGAGGAGGGGCGTCCTCGATGTCGGCCGCGCTCTCTTGGGTGGCCAGGGTTGGCTTCGCCGCGCTGACGAGGTCCCTCGTGCACCTGCTGAAGGCCTTGGGCGAGCGCCCCTCGCTGAGCGGGTGGGGGCCCTTGGACTTCAGGAACTCGGCCGCCAGGGCCAGGGCCGCGGCCTCGTCGCAGGTCACCCTGCCGTCGTGGGCCAGGCGGACGTTGGCGCGTGGGGGGGGCTGGGGGGGCGATTCCCTGCTGAGGCGCCTGGCAGCGAGCGCCCCCGTCGTGCGCTCGGCCTGCACGTCGGTCGCCCCGCGGGGTCCTGCGACCGGCCCCGCACTCCACCCAGGGGGAAAGCAGGGCAGCCGCAGGTCCAGGGGAGCTGCGATGGTCTTCGCCCTGCCGGCGCCAGGCTTCAGGCGATCGCAAACATGGGTCAAGGGGGCGTGGATAAGCGACGGGTCCCGTTTTCAGGGGAAATCGCAGATTTCCGCCGCCGAACGAGACGGCACCGGCCGCATTTTGGGGAGGGCACCTCTCCCGATCTGGGATTTGGCAACCGCGCGCCAAATCCATGGATCGCTAATCCATGTTTGCCCGCCCCCAAAGGTTGGCCGCGCGCCAGGGGGATCGGCATTTGCAGCGCTTGCGGCGCGCCGATCGGGACCGTCTCCCGGGACAGGTTGAGCTTGTTCCTCTCCGCTGTGGCCCTGGCATCTGCCCTGGTTGGTGCAGGGTAGACGCGCTGAAACGCGTGCCTGCCTGGGGCACTCCCCCGCCTGCTCGTCCGCGGGGCTTGGGCCTGCGACCGTTGGT